GCTATTGGGAAAGTATTCCCTGAATTGCGTCATTGATTATGTTTATGGCATCTTTCTAATAATGCCAAGAAACCTCTTGTTGGAATTTATTGGAATTTATTGGAATCCAAATTTCAATTCAAAATTTCATAAGTGTCTTAGTGATTGTCTAGATGAAATGGAATTTCAATCCACTCGGAATGATATGGTCAAGACCTTCAATCTAGAGAATAATGGATGACTTAATAGGTATTTTATTGGAACTTTATTTCCTTTTTACCATCATGCTTTATTTGTTTAAGAATACAAATTAAAAGAGAAAAATAAATAGACATCACTAGCATGCTTTATTTCATTTAATTACTCATGTTAATTTGCAAGCTTTATTGTTTCTTTATAGGTTATATGAGACCCAAGAAAAATGGTGTACTGCATTGAATGTAGATTTTTTTTCTGCTAGAATGAAATCAACTCAAAGAAGTGAGAGTATGAATAGTGTTTTCCATCAAATTTTAAGTACCTCATTAACTCTCATTCAAGTTATTGAATATTATGAACAAAATGCAGAAGATATGCGTCAAGGAGAACGAGATAAAGACTTCCATTGCAAAAATAGTTCCTTTATTGATTTGATTAGTCATGGTGGAATTTTAGGACATGCTACTACTATCTACGCAATAAGGGTGCTTCAAATGTTCAAAGAAGAGTTTTTCAAGGGTTTAGGCCTGAATTGTGTTGAGGTAGAAAAGGATGGGACAAAACTTTTATATGAACTTGATAAGCCATGTTCAAAAAGAGTCTTGAAAGTCGAGTTTGATAAATCTGATTTTAGTATCTCTTGTACTTGCAAGTTATTTGAGACTTTGAGGTTATTATGCCGCCATGCTTTAAGGGTTCCTGTTGTGAATAATGTGAATGAGATACCAGTTCAATATATCATGTAGAGATGGACAAAGAATGCAACAAAGGGGGTTGTTTACGAATCAACTGATTCAACTTGTAATGATGAAAAATCTGCTTGCCTTTTACGTTTTAGTGAGTTGAACCATCTTGGCCACAATGTTTTTTGTAAAGGTTCATTCACTATTGAGGGGACTAAAATTGTGAAGATGAAATTAATGAAGGCTTTGGAGTTGATTGAAAAAGACTTAGAAAGCTCAACTGAAGTTGCTGCAACACAAATGCATGTAGATGATAACTAAGTGGTATTGGACCCTCAATCTGTCAAAAAAAAAAGAACTGACTAATGCTAGAATCAAAAGCCAATTGAAAAAGAAAATGAAGAAGAAGAAGAAGAAGAAGAAGAAGAACAACAACAACAACAACAAAGGTGCAAAAACTTCTAATATGGTGCCAAAGATGAGGGAAACAGTTATTGAAATCCAGCAAAATTTTGCACTTCAAAATCTACAATCTGAAGTGTTTGGTAAGAATTAAGATGTTTTTTTTTATTAATTATTTGTTGCAAGTGCATTATGTTGCAAATCTAATGAGTAAAAGCCTATTAGTGTATAATGTTGATAGATTTAATACAACTAACATATTCTTTTTTTTTTTTTTGTTTCTAATTCAGAAAATCAAATATGGAATAACAATGTTGAAGCATCATTAGATGATGGTCTTTATAATTAGATACTTGTCAGTCTTTATAGTCTAACTTTGTCTAATCTTATTTCATTTATTGACACACAACTTCATATTCATGTGCAGGGTACTAGTTCACCATGTGTGTCTTTTTATCCACATAGAACCTTTACGAAAATGCTTCAAGATGTTAATCCTATTTTGACTCCTCCAAATTTTCAAGATTTCAATCCCATTTTGACTTCTTCAAATCAAGTAACCCAAGATTTCAATCCCATTTTGACAATTTATGAGTTGGCTTTTAAGATTTGATAAGATGTTGCTCATTCTCTAACAAGCATATGTATTCTTGTATCAACAGGTTGCAAATCACTATGAAATATTGACAGAGTAGAATTATTAAAAATGTGGATAAATTAAGAGAGTTATTTTGTAGATCATATGATGGTATTTTAGTATATTAGATGATTATATAGAAATTGAAATATACCTTTTGTGTTGCATGATGATTTTATATAAAACTTGCATTAACTTGCATTAAGATGATAATCTATTTTCAAGAGCTAAATTTATATCAAAATAACACTCTTTTTATTAGAAAGATGAACTTTTATTAATAATAAAATAATATTCCAAGATATATTGCAATTCCCTATAAAAAAAAATAAAAGGCATTTTTCTTATGAAAATGATACGAAACAATTTTCCTGACCAAAAAAAAAAAAAAAAAAAAAAAAAGTGATTCTTGAATCTTAATATTCCCTTTTCGTTTTTCTTCCAGTTGTCATTGTGCCATGGCTAACTCCCTAAATGGGGTTCCATAGACAATGAAAAGCCAACTTCTTTGAACTTTATGTCTTCATCCCACTCTCAATCTATATATTAGTGGAATAAGGGTTTATAAGTTGCTTAGCTAATGAGAAATCAACCACCTACATAGCAAACAAGTTAAAAAAATCACAACAAAAGGAAAGAATTTCATCTTTTAATGATACGGATGCAAGTTACATATTATCACTAAGGGCATAGAAAAGGCATGTCAAACTTATCTCCAATCAAGATGATATCTAGACTCAATAGAGGATCAGCGAGTGAAGTTTACCCAACTAAAATACTTAAGTGCATTATGATTTTCATCTCCTGCATTTCCTTTATTTGGCCACCCAATATTTGGCTCATGGCTTATGATATCTATATTCCTTTGATTGCATTGCTATGGGAAGTACTAACTTTGTTTGCAGTTGCTTGCAAGGAAATTGCATGTTGCAAATGTCAACTAATGAATGTAGTAAAGTTTACCCAACAAAGAATGCTCTACTGATGCCATAAGTCAAAAAAAAGATCAAAAACATATGAATTTTGTGTAAAAGAACAAAATCTTCCTCAAGCTTGCTTAAACATTGTCTAGGTAATCTTACTCAGGAGATATATTAAACACTTGGTGGGCATGAAAAAAGTTTAATTTCTTATAACTAATTCTAACTATTCTTCCTTCAACCAAATCAACCAAAAGGCATACATCCACAAATCACACAAGCAAAACTTAGCAATTGCAAATTATTAATTAAAAATAGCTATACCCAAGCAAGAGAAACTTAATAGTTAGTTTCACCGAAAATCTTAGCAATCGCAATATCAAATTGTAATAGCACCAGTGAGCCACTATAGATGCTATGAAGAGAAGAATAGGGTAGCTGTGTATAGAAATAAAAGTAGAAAAAAAAAAAAGAAAGAGAAGGAAAAAGACATCGAAGGAAGGGCTGGGGAGATGTTGAAAAGAGAGTCGGTGAGCCTCTACAGATGCTGTGAAAAGAAGAATATGGTAACTGTGTACAGAAATAAAAATTAAAAAAAAAAAAAGAGGGCAAAACACGTAGAAGGAAGGGCTCAGGAGATGTTGAAAATAGAGTCGGCTGCGAAGTATGTTCTAAAAGGATTTGTCGTGAGTTAATTTGTTGTGAGTTAAATTTAGATTTGGTGTTTGTTTGCCTCTCCGTTAGGTAATTGATGAGGTGTAAAAAAAGTTGACATGGTGATTTTTAATTGGATCGGCATGGTATCCTAGTGATACCCTAGACTTTCTCCTCATAATGTGAAGTTGGACAAAAAAAAATAATTAAAAAAAGTTTCTAACGTGCGACCGTTTGCATTTTAACGGTGAAAACGATGCTGTTAATCTTAAAACAGACAGAGGGACGAAATTGAGCTCTTTTTGAAAAGTAGAGGGAGGACATGAGAACCTAAATTAAAGTAAGGGGAGAACATGAGGTAAATTCATAGTAGAGGATTTAAATTGAACTTCTTTTAATAGTAGAGAGATGATAGTTGGCTTTAACCCTAAATAAAATAGGTATAATAATTATTTTATAATTAATTGATAAAATTTAAATATTTATCTCTAACTACTGTTTTCTTGCTTAAAATGAAAAGTGTAATAAATAACTTTCAACATAATATATATTTTTTAATGTATTATAATTTGAGGAGATGGATTAAAATCTTAACACTAAAATTAAGGAGTACATCTTACAAACTCATATAATTATTGAGTCACGAAACCTAAATATACTTTGACCATAGGGAATAGTACTTATCCGCCTTACCTCCTAAAAATTAGGAGAAATATTATTCCAAAACTACGTCATTTTAATAAACACCTATTAAAAAAGACTAAAATATCTTATTTTTAAAACATAAATTAGGGAGTTTTTTTGTCTTTTTTTGTCTTAATTTTTTATAGGTAAGGCGGACAAGCACTAATTTATTGACCATAATATTTAATTAGACCATTAAATTTAAATGGAGATGGAAGGGTATGATAAGACCACTGGATATGGAAGATTAAAAATAATAATAATAAGAATAGAGATAGAGAATAGTGCCTATCCACCTTACCTCTTAAAAAATTAGGAGGAAAATCATTTCAAAAGTACGTCGTTTCAATAAATCCCCATTGAAAATCCCCATTGAAAAAGACTAAAATATCATATTTTTAAAGTATAAATTAAAGTGTTTTTTTATCTTTCCTTGTAGTATTTTATTAAAACTACATAGTTTTGAAATGATTTTTCTCCTAATTTTTAGGAGGTAAAGTGGATAAATACTAATTTCATAGAGATATCCACTTTTTTCTACCATTCACTGCTTTTGAAACTATTGATCCAAATAGGCCTACAGGGTAAATGTTAAATTACCTTTCAAGTTGGAAAAACCATTTCAAAAAAGGGGGAAAAAGAAATACCAAACACCAATAGACAAGAGGAGTACAAGTAAAGGAAATTGGCACCTACCTAAAAAAATTTGGAAATCTGGCCCATGCCTAAACAAGTTCTGTTGGGCCATCCGGTCAAAATTCCTATGCAAGTTGGGCCTCTAACATCGAGATATATGACATAACCCTAGACTGGTATAGAGAAACAGGAAAGGATTTGTGTTGCCGTTATCCTCTTGACTTCCGTTCCCGACGAAATGCTCCGGCGTTGGCCATGAGAAGTGTTGCTTTGTCAAATGCTTCCTCTTTCTGTAGGATTACAGCAATGAGAAAGAGCAACAAGTCCCACTCCCATCTTTCTAATAAAGTAGGTTCTTATTTACTACTCTTTCTTGATAATTTCGAAATGGGTGGATAATCGGATTGCAATTTGAGCCGCCATTGTTCAACCTCACATATCTGACATATATATATTTTCTTTTTATCAGAAATTATAATATATATATATATATACCTTTTCCTTCAGCAGTTTGATGTGTTAACAACTTATACAGATCAATTTTTCACTTCTCTTTAGCATGCCTGAACTGAACATACTGCATTTAATAATGTTATGTTACTGCCACTAGGATCCTGAACCAAACCCTCCAAGAATTAAATCAAATGTCAAGCAAAATTTGCAGTTTTTGAGGTTGTGGAAGGTGGGTTCCCGGCTAAGATATGTGATGCTTCTATTCCCTCTGTACCCTTTATCTTATCCAACACACACTTTGTATTTTTTCTAGGAATTTCAGAGGAGCAAATCTACTTCTCCTAAGCCTGCCACTAGTTACCGCAGGAAGAAGCCACAAAAGGAGCAACTTCCACAAGATATTATAGACCTCCGTCGTGATCCTACCACAACTCTTTACTAGTAATACACTTTCCAGGTTTCTTCCTTATGTCAATTCAGCCATCTGTTTAAACTTCTCTTAAAAATCACTG